GATTTATTAATTTGGAGCACAGGGGTACTATATTTTGAAAGGACTTAGGGCCTATTATAGTTTATTTAGTCTCCTAGCTCCTGTCAAATTGAGAGAGAAGCAACCTTTATTTTATTTTTATTTTATTTTTTACTCTCAACTTCTTCAATTATTTTGATTTATTTAAACCCTTCTTCTTGTTCTTCTTCTTCTTAATCATGTATACCCAGAAATGAGAAAAGGGTCTTCTTCTTCTTTTCTTGTTGTTGTTGTTGTTGTTGGTTAGCTAGGTTAGAAGATATTATGAATCATGTATACCCAGAAATGAGAAAAAGGCATATAAACTTTTTTTTTTTTTATCGGTGGCATATAAACATTAATTTCTTCGATGCATTGACACTAGGGTTGCTATTTGCAGTACAAGTTCATTTTATTTCTTTTGTTTTATGCAATTCCTTTCTTGGAATGAGCACATGCAACAGGGTCACAGCCAAGCATGAAACCGCGTTGTCAGACTCTAAAGTCTAAACTCCCCACATATTATCAACTTTTTAAACAAACCTGTTCGGTTGCCGTAACTCAATTTTACCTGTACATTTTCAAGCTGAGCATTGGGATATGTAAGAAGGCCAAGTTTGCATATCTGGCTGTTAAGTTTGCAATCTCACCACCAACAATTCACGTTGGCGATACTACTTGCTGCAAAAAGATGTAAAAAAGACCCTTTACTATTATTTGTCCTGGCTTAGCTTTTAGGTAGTTTTGCTACTCGACGGTTGGCAGAAAACAAAGAGGTTTTATGGAAGAATGTAGTAAAGGAAAGATAAGGTGAGGGAGAAAACCATTGGCTAGATTGTGTTAAAGGGAATAGAGGAGTTGGCTCAATTTGGTGGAGGGATGTGTGTCGTCTTGATTCTTTGGAGGGGGAGAGAAGAGGGTGGTTGACAGAGGGTTTTAGAATAAGGATGGGGGAAGGAAAAAGGCTTAGCTTCTGGTGGGATCATTGGTGTGGGGAAGGGTGTCTTGCTAATAAGTTTTCAAGATTATATTTGTTATCAGCAGGTAAAGAGAACACGTGCCACCAAATGGGCAATGCTAGCAATGGCTCATGGAAATGGAACTTAAAATGGAGAAGGAATTTGTATGAGTGGGAAGCTGCCGAAGCCATGGAACTTCAAAAGATGATAGAAGATGAGAAGATATCGGAAGGTGTCCCCGACAGATGGAAGTGGACTCACGACAAGAGAGGCCAATATTCAACCAAAACTGCTTATTCTCTTCTAACATTGGAGCAGGGGGAAGTGAATGAAGCAAAGACTTTCAAAAGAATATGGAACCCCAGTTTCCCTAGTAAAATTTCAGCTTTCAATTGGCAATTACTTTTGAATAGAATACCAACCAAGGCTAATTTGCTAAGAAGAGGGGTCATTAAAGATGCGACAGAAGCTAAGTGTGCCCTTTGTAATGAAGAAGAAGAGGATTCTACTCACTTGTTCTTGAACTGCAAAATTGCAAGATGGGTGTGGATGGCTTGCTCAAAATGGTGGGGGACCAACATCACAGTGAACAGGGATTGCTGGAATACTTTCCAACTCATTGGGAAGGGCACTAAAGGATCAAACATTAGAGAATGCATGGATTGTATGTGGAAAACTGTTGTGTGGTCCATGTGGAAAACTGTTGTGTGGTCCATGTGGATTGCTAGAAATCAGAAGATCTTCCACAATAAAGAGGACAAAGAGATAAATCTGGGAAAACTTTTCGAACTCATCCAAATGAGATCCTTCCTATGGATTAAAGCAAAAAAGGAAAGGTATGCCTTCAATTTGACGGATTGGCTAATTAATACCGCTCAGTGTTTGAAAAGTACAGTGGGTTCACGAAGGTTGCATTGAGCAGAAGAAGAAATTGCAAAAGAGGGTAGAAATCCATCACGGGTAGAGTGTCGACACATAATTTAGGTATCGACACCATTTGGTAGGCATCCAAAATCTCCGACATGGACGTGGTGTTGGCAGGTAATTCAGGGGTCGACACCATATGGTAAGCATTCAAAACTCCGACACGGACGTGGTATTGACACTTAATTCAGGGGTCGACACCAAATGAAAGGGTTAATCAACTCATGTATTATGAACCCTGTCAAGTTTTTATGTTTATGAGTTTGAGGTACCCCTTATACTCAGTTTATTAATAAATATTATACTTTGTTGTTCAAAAAAAAAAAAAAAGGTAGTTTTGCTACTCTTTTGTTTTGGAAGGGTTATTAGGTTTATTGGTTTATGTTTTGGTAAGACTATTTGTCTTGTATGATAGATGGTGTAATGAAAGTTGTGTAATTGAGCCCTATTTTCATCGATCTAATTTTTTATTTTCTTGCGTTATTTACATTTACTAGTTTATATCAAATACAAACATTCACACAAACACCTAAAATCCTATCTTCTCTTGAAATATCAGAAAATAGAAGGGTAATCATTATTCTTCTCCTTACATTTTTTTAGAATCCAAAGCACAAAGTTTCATGTATACACCACAATGCCTAGAATTTAGCTTCAGTTTCAAAAAAACAGTGTTGATATGCAAACGT